GGGGGCAAGCCAGGCTCATGCGAAGCCCCACGAGGGGTCCCTCCCTGGCTGCCCTCTCCCGCCCACCCTCCCCCTGCCCGCTGTCCTGGAAGGCCCCGTCTAGGCTCCAGAAAGGGTGCCACCCGGTGAGAGGAGGTTCCGCAGGGACACAGGCTGGGGCCCGGCCGGCGCTGCCACTCCCCGCTGAGTGATGTGGGCCGGGCCCCAGCCCTCTGAGTTTCTCTGTGAGACAGGGCTCCCCGTCTTATCCCAGGCTCGCCCCCCATGGCTCCCAAGCCTGCGGTGTCAGTTCACTGACCGGAGGGACACTTGTTAAAGCCGCTCCCAGGCCCAGCCCAGACCTGCTGTGTGCTAACCTGGCTGGGCTGGGGAGGGGGGAAAGGGGGTGTGAAAATGCAATTTAGTCAACTCCCTTGGGCAGGTTTGGGCTCCTGTGATGTGAGCTCGTGACAACGGGGTTGGGTATGGGCCATGGCACCCCGCTCTCCCTCCCCCCAAAAGCTCAGAGGTGAATGCATTCTGGCGGGAGCTGGAGGTTGGGCAGAGCTTCCCGGAGAGGGTGTGTCTGAGTGACTCTCGGAAGATGAGGGCAGGGACAGAGGCACACGGAGGCGGGGATGGCCGCGGGGTCTGCCTCGGGAAGGAGCAGGAGAGGGGCGGGGACCAGCATCCTCCAGGTCCTGTCCACTCACTTCCACCTCCGTCCTCTGCGGAAATGGCTTTTCCAGGAGCCGGGCTCGGGCTGGCGGTGACTCCGTGACTCGTGGCTGGACACGGTTGGCAGAGGAAGTGACTCAGACCCCGTGGGGCGGGGGGGGGGGGGGGGGGAGGGAGCTGTGGGTCTCCTGCCCATGGCCCCCTACCCACGTGAGATGGGCAGGGCTGGGCCCAAGCCAGAGCCCCTTCTCCCGGCTCAGACAAGCCCTGGGTACCCGCTGCTCCGCCTAGATCCTGGGGGGCCCTCTGAGGGGGCCCCCATTGCGCCAGGCTGGGCCTAACTGATCTGTGGGGTCAGGGGCAGCTGCTCTGGGAGGAGTGCTGGGGGGTGGGGTTCTCTGAGGGGCTTGGCCCCCAAATTCTCTCTCCCAGGCTGGGGTTCCCCGCGCTGCCTATGCTGCCCCCCACTTTCTCTCCTGGGCTTTGGGGCTCTTCCAAGCCAAGGGCATGTGCGTCCGGGGGAGCTTTATCTGCAAAGAGCTCTCTAGAGCGAGACCCAGGGCCCCGCCTGCCCCCCTCCCCCCGCGCCTCCCCCCCCTCGTGGTGACCAGGGAACCGATAGCCCTGCCCTAGCCTCAGTTTCCTCATCTGCGAAATGGCCAGGCAGCAGGACCAGCCTCCAGGTTGGCGCAGAGGGTCCGTGGGCCGCTGGAGAGGGTGCTCTGCTCTCCTCATCAAGGTCCTGCCTCCCGCCTGGCCGGGGCTGTGTGAGGGCGGACGAGGGGCCGGCCGGGGGACCAGCGGTTGGTTGGCTCTGAGGGTATTTGATGGCCGAGGCTGGTCCATTTCTGTGGGTCTCCAGGTCCAGAGACCAGGGGTTCTGGCCACGTGGTCCATGTGGAGGTTCATGTATGGGGTTCAGCCTGCAGAGCACAGCTACCCCCTCCCTCCCATTCCCGCTGAGCCAGGTGGGGGCACGTGGGGTGGGGACCAGGGCATTCTGGAGGTGCCGGGTGTGTGGCCTTCATCATGGGAGCTGACTGTACCGCCCAGTGGGCAGCGTGGGGTGGCCGATCTGGGGTGGGGTCTCCTCCTGTCCCCAGTCCGCGCTCCCGTCCCCCCGGGCTCTGCGGGCGGCCCCAGGTCCGGCTGCGAGGACGGGACTTTTCTGGGTGGGGTTCCCGTCTTCCCGTGGCGCTCCGGAAAGGAAGCTTCACGCTCTGAGAATTTCCCGGCTCAGGGTCGCCTGGGCCACGGGACACGCCATGGGGCCGGGAGGGGGGGGGGACCCGGGGAAAGGGGAGGGACACCGGAAGGGCCTGTGATAACCGGGAGACATATATTTATCTAATACATCTTTATGGATGTCAGAGAGGAAGAGGGAGGGAGAGGGAGAGAGAAACATCAATGAGGAGAGTAAATCATCGGTCGGCTGCCTCCTACACGCCCCCATACTGGAGATCAAGCCCGAAACCCGGGCATGTGCCCCGACCAAGAATCGAACCAGGACCTCCTGGTTCCTAGGTCAATGCTCAATCCCTGAGCCACGCCGGCTGGGCATACACAGGGATAGTTCGCTGACCCAGATGGCTTCTATTATACCATACACGTGGCCCTGCTCTAAATCCTTACGGCTATCAATTCATTTAATTCCTGCCGTGAGCCCGGAGGCTGGCTGTCCTGTCCTGGGACCTAGTCCACGGGACCTAGTCCACGGGCAGTGGGAGCTCACGTGGAAGGCCAGAGACAACGCCCCCGCTGGCCAGCTCTGTCCTCGCTGGCTATGTGATGTCTGGAAGTTGTTGGCCCTCCCCAGGCCTCAAGTCTAAAAGCCATAACAGCCAAACCAGTGTGGCTCAGGGATAGAGCATCGGCCTGCGGACTGAAAGGTCCCAGGTTCGATTCCGGTCAAGGCGTGCAGGAGGCAGCTGATTGATGTTTCTCACTATCTCTCTCCCTTCTTCTCTGTAAAAAAATCAATAAAACATATTTAAAAAAAAAAGCCATAACATGGTCGGGGTGGAGGGGATCAGAGGGGAGGAGACATCTGTAATACTTCCAACAATAAAGTTACAAATATATTTTATTGATTTTTTACAGAAAGGAAGGGAGAGTGATAAAGAGTTAGAAACATCGATGAAAGAGAAACATCCATCAGCTGCCTCCTGCACACCCTCTACTGAGGATGTGCCCGCAACCAAGGTACATGCCCTTGACCGGAATCGAACCTGGGACCCTTGAGTCCGCAGGCTGATGCTCTATCCACTGAGCCAAACCAGTCAGGGCTAAAGATACATTTAACATAAAATAAAACAAATGCCATCACATGGGGAGTTTGGGCCAGATTCTCAAAGCGATGTGTGAGGTACGCATTCACAGGATAAAGCAGAGGCCGCTGCCTGGGACGGTGACATTTGGACAGGGAGTCAGAGGCAGACAGCGGCAGGCAGAGAGGAGGAGGGAAGAGGGGGTCCGGGAGGGGCATGTTTCTGTCCTGGATGCTGCGTTTCCTTCCTCTGGTCTGGGCGGCAGAAGGCGGTTTCAGAAGGGGCTCAAAATGCTCAGAGCGGCCACAGAGTGAAACCAGAACAATCACAGCCCAGGAAACAGTGGCCGTTCCCTAAAACACTTTCACATCCTTCTTCGGAGGGTCCCGGGATGCCACCTGAGCAGGAGGGTGAGCCCGAGGGACCCATGGTTAGACCGATGAGGCCCAAGAAATTAGGGTTCCGTTACACATAGAGGACTAGCTCCAACTTGGGGGGGGAGACGGGGGAGGCGGGCACAGGTTAGTTCGAGGAAGGCACGGCCCCAGCAGGAGACAATGAGCTCTCGCCTGCGTCACCGCTCCCTTTAACACTGCCCTCAAGTTGGCCATGGAAACGCTGCCTCCTCCTGGAAGCCCTCCTTGGTTTCTACCAAACCCTCACTCCTCGCGTGCCCCTAGGTTGCCAGGCTTCCCTTCGCCTGGCCTGTGGCAGGTGGTTGCATCTGTCACCATCACCATCTGCAGTTCCCCACAGGATGAGGGTGCCTGTCTGCGTCTGGCACCACCCAGTGTGGTCAGAGGGCCAGATGGCAGAGGCAGAGACCAAAGCCACCTGCCATCTCTCTGTGCGTGCCAGGCACACGGGTTCCCTGCCAGGCGCTGCCGTTCTGACCAGGCAGGAAGAACTCCTGGCTTTTGGGCAAGTCAACCCCACCCCAGACCTCAGTATGGCCCACGGGCTCAGCCACAGGGCTGGAAGGGGTTCCTTAGGTACGAGGGTGGGGTGGGCTAGCCGAGGCTGGCAGAGAGTAGGTGCCCAGCTAATAGAGGCCGTGGGGGGTCAGAAGGGCCCCCTCTACCTCGGGGTGGAGGTGGAGGTGAGGGTAGTTGGGCCACCCCCCACCTGAGCCATAAGGTTGAGTGTCTCTCCTGATTGGGACGTCCCACTGCAGTTCCAGAGGCCCAGAGCCTTGGCAACTGGCTCCCCTGGTGGTCATGATGGGAAGCGCCCTTCCCCTCTGGCCCCTGTAGAGGGCGCCGTGGGCGCGCTGATCCTTCCCTCTTCTCCCAGCTCTAGGCTGTCCACAGAGATGGGTTAGGAGGGAGCCCCCTGGCGGGCCGAGGAGGGAGCGCACCATCCTGCACTTTCTGGGAGGCGAGCAAAGGGGGCCCTGGCCAGCGGTGGGAGCCAGAGGAGGCCAGGACGGCCAGCAGAGGGGTCTGGGGAAGGCTTCCTGGAGGAGGTGTCCTCTGAGCTAGGTGTTGGGGATGGTGAGGGTGAGGTTCCTGGGGAGGACGCCGAGAGCCCCCTTCCTCCTGAGTCTCCTCCAGGCCCGAAGGGGGCACGGCGGTTCCAGGGGGCGCTGGGGAGCCTTCCCCAACAGATCCCAGCTAAGATGACCCTCTTCTGGCCCTGCTGGGCCCAGAGGGCCCCATTTCCTGTGACTTAAACAGGGTCCTGTGGCGAGCAAGAGGTGCAGCCAGAACTTGGACTTGGGCAGGCTCTGGTCAGCCACAGCCTCTTAAAAAAATTATATGTATATTTCTTTCATTGATTTCAGAGAGGAAGGCAGAGAGAGATAGAAACATCAATGATGAGAGAGAATCATTGATCGGCTGCCTCCTGCATGCCCTACACTGGAGATGGAGCCTGTAACCTGGGCCTGTGCCCTGACTGGGAAATCGAACCTTGCCTTCCTGGTTCATAGGCCGATGCTCAACCAATGAGCCACACCATTGGGGCCAGCCACAGCCTCTTGATGCTCAGCTTCTGGCAGGTTTGGAGGGTCCCCACCTCACATCGCCCCTGCTGTCTCTCAGGCAGTGACTTCCCAGGTGACTCCGAAGGCGGGAGATGGCCGCCCACGGGCAGGTGCAGATGGGGCCGCGGCTGCTGGGTCTGCTCCTCCTGGTTCAAGGTAGGCTTTCCTGAGACCGCTGGGACTTGCATCAAAGGCCTCCGAGCCCGGGACAGCAGCCAGTGCATCCCCTAAGGCTCCAGTGTTTCCCAAAGTGTGGTACTCGCACCCCCAGGGGTACGGGAAGAGTTTTGGGGGGGCGGTACGCGTTGCACCAGAGTTTGGTGGAGATAGGCACTGCACCGTGCTTAGCTGCGCCTCATTCTACCTTCTCATGAGTACGAGGGGTACTCAGCATTACGAAAATTATAGAAGGGGTACACATAGGTCAAAAGTTTGGGAAACACTGCTAAGCCCTCGGGCAGACACAGCTTAGCAAGGGGATGGTGCCTTTGAGAAAAGAGAAAGCTCCCCTCCCCCCACTTTTTTTTTTTTTTAAGGAATAGTTTATTGATTTTTAGAGAGAGGAAGGGAGACGAGAGAAACATCTATGTGAGAGCATAACATCGATCGGTTGCCTCCTGCATGCCCCCTACCAGGGACTGAGCCTGCAACCCAGGCATGTGAGCTGACTGGGAATGGAACCAGCCACCTTTCGGTGCACGGGACCACCCCCAGCCAACTGAGCCATACCGGCCAGCGCAAGGAACCTCCTTTATTATTTTTTAAATATATATATTTTTATTGATTTCAGAGAGGAAGAGAGAGGGAGGGAGAGAGAGATAGAAACATCACTGAGGAGAGAGAATCATTGATTGGCTGCTTCCTGCATGCCTCCCACTGGGGATTGAGCTGGCAACCCCAGGCATGTGCTCTTGATTGGAATCGATCCTGGGACCCTCTGGTCCGCAGGCTGACGCTCTATCCACTGAGCCCAAAACAGCTAGGGCACAGGCACCCCTTTTTCTCTGGCAGATGTCGTTGCCCGGTGCACAGCTTGGGGTGGGAACCACGGACTGGGTTTCCGCCCCACTCACTCTGGAGCCAGAGCATCCTTGTGCAATGCCCCAAACACCTGTCTCTAGCAGCACGGCCTCATCAGATACCCGATGGCTATTTTAAAAAATGCTGTGCCTTAGAAACGGTGACTTTGGAGTTTCTCCTTTGCCTATTTTGGAACCAATGATTTTTTGAGCAAGGTCCCTCACATTTTTTTTGTTAGACCCTTTGAGGTACTGACCTGTGGAATGTGTGTGGGTCCCCGATCCTGGGCTCCTGCTGTGTCCTGGGCCCCGGGCCTGCCCCTCCCACGGCCCCCCGCCCCAGAGCCCCGTCTGCAGCGCCTGCCTCCTCAGGTGCCCAGGTTGCGGGCTCCCGGGAGGACTTCCGCTTCTGCGGCCAGCGGAACCAGACGCAGAAGAGCAGACTGATTTACGAGCAGCAGACACAGCTGCACATCTCCATCCAGAATGCGGAGGATGCCCTCACCGTGCGCGCCCCCTTCCCTGGCGTCGCTACCCACCACTTCCCGGACCCCAGGGGCCTCTACCACTTCTGCCTCTCCTGGAACCGCCACGCCGGGAAGCTGCACCTGCTCTACGGCAAGCACGACTTCCTGCTGAGCGACCAGGCCTCCGACCTCCTGTGCTTCCAGAGCCAGGAGCAGAGCCTGGCCCCGGGCCCCCACATGCTCGCCACCTCCGTCAGCTCCTGGTGGAGCCCCCGGAACACCAGCCTGCCCAGCACTGCCGGCTTCACCTTCTCCTTCCACAGTAAGCCAGGCGGCAACAGCGTGTGCAAAGGCCCTGAGGCAGGGAAGGCTGAAGGATGCAAAGCAGGCTGGGAAATGGACAGGCTCTGGGGTCCGCTCCTGGAGCTCAGGATTTGTTCACAGGAAGTGGGGAGCCACTGAAGGTGCCTGAGGATTGGGGGGGGGGGAGGGGAGTGTGATCCAAGGAGGTTTGCGGGAAGGGAGGGGTGAGGGTGGAGGGGGCCAGGTCCCACCCGGAGACTGCAGGAAAGGCCCAGCTGAAGGGGGATGGAGTCTGAACAGGATGGGAGCAGAGCGAGTGGGAAGAAGGGCCTGGCTGTCAGGAGCCAGAGGATGTTCGTCCCCATTTCACAGAGGGGGAAACTGAGGCACAAAGAGGCACAGAGTTGCACAGCCAGTCAGTGAGGGAGCCAGGGTGTAGGGAGGAGAGGGTGCTCAGAAGGAGCTGGAGGCTTTATGCAGGGGGGAGAGGGGGTGAGCGGGTCTAGGATTTCCCTGGTTCTCTTTCTTCCAGGCAGATCTGGCTGGGGATGGGGCTCCTCTCAGGGGTAGGTGTGGGGGACTCAGCACTTGGAAGATGTCAGCAGCTCCAGGCCCATGAGAATGCTGGGCGGGCAGGCCGACTTTGGCCCAGCGCTGTCTAGTGCGGCAGACCCGGCGGGGTGGATGGGGTGCCTCACCCCCAGGCTGGGATTCTGCCCCCGCCAGGGAGGGTTTGGGGCAAATAGCAGCCTGAAGGGCAGGTCTGGCCTGGCCTCACGTGGCCAGTAGAGGGGGTTGTTTTTTGTCTTCGCTTTTTAAATGAGCCAACGGTTTCAAGTCACCTAAGCATCAGGCTTTCCTCCTTATAAATCCGGACGTGGCTCCCAGGGCCTGCCTTCCTTGATGCCACAGGGTAGCCCCCTGCCCCTCAACATGTGCTCGTCCCGTTTGTCTACCCAAGTCTGCAGCCCTGGGGTGCAGAGGCCCCCGGTGCAGGGCCTGGGACCGGGTGTCGGAGATGCTGGGGGTGTGGAGTACCTAGAGCCACCACATGAGGCCCCCCCTCCCCAGGCCCTCTTGAAGGGACCCTGACATGAGCCCTCCCAGCTCCTGTGTATAGTCAGTAGGGCCCCTGGGTGAGGGCGCCCCATGTCCCTCTGCGGGGAAGGGGGAACATTGGGGGGACTGGAGGTTCCTGGCTGGCCGGCCGCCTGTCTGAGTGAATGGCGGAGCCTCGGTGTTTCCCTCCACAAAATGGGAACGAATCTGTGGGAGTAGTGGGAGGATTGAGAGGATCATGAAGGTGGCAGGGACCTCAGCCAAAAGCCTTGGGTCGGTCTGTCCCCCCAGATCCTCCCCAGAAGGCCTCCCACAATGCCTCGGTGGACATGTGCGAGCTGAAACGGGACCTCCAGCAGCTCAGCCAGCTTCTGAAGGCTCCCGGGAAAGCCCCAAGGAGGCCCTCGGCCACGCCCACCCGCTCCAGCCAGTGAGTGTGGCTCTCAGCATGGGGCGAGGGGAGGGCCCTGGGCCGGCTGGGACTGGAGTGGGAGGCTGGGGTGGAGACCTCACCTGGGGCTGGAACTTTTTCTCTTTCCATCTCCTCATGGAGGTGCTGGGATTCAGCCTGCAGGCCTCGCCCCACACCTGCCCGAGTGTGGAGCAGATACCACTCCTGCCGTCCAGGACAGGATGCCCAATCCCTCTCCCCCTTTGTAAAGGACAATGGATGGGCCCATTTTACAGTTCAGCAGACTGAGGCCCGGGGATGGCAGGGCTGCTCCACGGCCTCAGCGTAGGTCTGTCCAGGCAGAACGGGACCCAGAGCAGGCCCCCCACCCTCATCCCCCTTTCCTGTTTGCCCAGATGTTCCTGCTTCCTCTGTCCCTCCCGCAGGCCATTCTCTCTATGTTTCTCTCCTGCCCCCTCTCTCCTCTCCCCTGACCCCCTTCCTTCCCCTCTCTCCGCCTGCCTCTTTCCGGTGTGTCTCCCTGTGGCCGCTCCCCGGAGTCACCACCTCTCTCGCCCCGCCAGGCAGCTGCAGAGCCTGGAGTCAAAGCTGACCTCCCTGCGGTTCCCAGGGGACACGGTGTCCTTTGAGGAGGAGTGGGTCAACGCCACCGTGTGGAAGCTCCAGCCCACGGCCGGCCTGCGGGACCTGCACCTCCACTCGGGGCAGGAGGTCAGGGCTGGGGATCGGCTGCAGGGTGGGGGGGGGGAGGCAGGAGGCAGATGTGGGGGCCGTGAGCACGCCTTCCCCGGCCCCCCAGGGCCAGATGTGTGCTGATGAGGGAGGAAGGAGCCAGGCCCAAGGAATCCCCTCCGTCAGGGGCTTGGGCCCTTCCTCGCACCTTGATGGGGGCAGAGGTGGGGGGCCCTGGTCCCTGCACTGGGGGCACGTCTGTGCGGACAGAGACCGCCCCCAGGACGCCTGTGCGTGAGACGGTCTCTCGCGTGGGCCTGGGGAGCTGGGAGCCACCCCCACCCCCCACGGGAGGATGCTCAAGGCAGGACTGGGGCCTGAAGCCCGAGGACAGGGGACCTGGGGGCCTGGGCTCTGACCATTAGGCTCCCCGGCTAATACTGGCGCCCAGCGAAGGAGGCGGGAGAAGGGGTGCTGGGAGTCAGGCGGCAGCCGGGAAAGTGTGTGCATGGGAGGCGGGGAGGGGGCGTGGGGTCCCTCTCTGGCTGACCCCAGGATCTCTGGTCTGCAGGAGGGCCCGGGGGCAGTGCGGGAGTACTCGGTGCTGCTGCCCCGAGTGCTCTTCCAGAAGGCCAAAGGCCGGAGGGGGGAGGCTGCCCAGAGACTCCTCCTGGTGGATTTCAGCAGCCAAGCCCTGTTCCAGGTACGGGGGTGGGGGGAGAGGGGGACGAGGGGAAGGGGGACCCCTGGGAAAAGCCGCGTCTGTCCGACGGAAGGACGGACGGAAGGAAGGAAGGAAGGCGTGGAACCCAGTTCCTCCTCCAGGAGTCAGAGCCCTTCCTTGCAAAGTCAGAAACGGGCCTGTAGCCGAAACCGGTGTGGCTCAGTGGGTAGAGCGCCGGCCTGCGGACCGAAAGGTCCTTGGTTCGATTCCAGTCAAGAGCATGTACCTTGGTTGCGGCCACATCCCCAGTGGGGGGCGGGGGGGGTGTGTGTTCAAGAGGCAGCTGGCCGATGATTCTCTCTCATCGATGTTTCTAACTCTCTATCCCTCTCTCTTCCTCTCTGTAAAAAAAAAAAAAAAAAAAAAAAAAAAAAAAAAAAAAAAAAATCAATAGAATATATTTTAGAAAAAGAGAAAAAAGAAAAGAAATGAGCCTGCACCATGCACGCCTCCCGGGGAAGGTGGGAGTGGCGTTGTTCTCACTATGGTGTGAATGACTACCCGGGCAACCACGGTTCCCCACGGGAGGCCCAGCATGCCAGAGACGGGAGCCTAGAGAGCCTGTGGGGGAGGCTCCTGGGCCCTCCTTCTCAGCCACGAACCCCTCCCTTCTCTCCCCCCCCCCCCCCAACCTCATATCCAGGACCAGAATTCCAGCCAAGTCCTGGGGGAGAAGGTCTTGGGCATTGTGGTGCCCAACACCAAGGTCGCCAACCTCTCGGAGCCGGTGGTGCTCACCTTCCAGCACCAGCCGCAGCCGGTACGTGTGAGCGAACCAGCCGAGGAGACGGGGAGTCCCCGTGGGCCCTGTCTTCCTCTCTTCCCCCCCCTCTCTGAATCACTGGTCTTTGGCGAAATGATTGACTGGCCAGTCAGCCAATCAGGTCCCACTGGGGTGTGTGTGTGTGTGTGTGTGTGTGTGTGTGTGTGTGTGTGTGGCCTGACCCTGACTTCCTGTCTGGCCCACGAAGGGGTGGACTGTAATGGGGGGCACTCTCCCTTCTGGTCCCCACAGAAGAACGTGACTCTGCAGTGTGTCTTCTGGGTGGAAGGCTCGGCATGTGAGTGTGGAGGGGTGTGCCCGGGCGGGTGTCTGGAGGGTGGGGGCGGGGGGACACGGGGTTCATCAGGGAGGGCTTCCCGGACAAGGTGGGCTTGGAAGAGGGAGGGGCGGCAGACGAGGGATCTGCCAGGTGGAGCAAAGGCGCGGAAGAATGGTACAGTCATCCATCCGGGGGGCCCCGTGGGGTCCTGGGAGCCGGGGCCTGATCGGAGCCCCATGCGGTCCCCTCCCTCCTCAGTGACGGGCGCGGGGAGCTGGAGCAGCGCCGGGTGCAGGACCGAGAGCAGGGAGATGCAGACGTCCTGCTTCTGCGACCACCTGACCTACTTCGCGGTCCTGATGGTGAGTGCTGCTGTGTGCCTGTGGCCACGCCTCAGGTCGTCCGTCCGTCTCCCGTTCTGCCCAGCAACCCCCGGGGCGCCTCCTGTGGTCCCATCTGACAGACAACGAAGGGCCTGGTGCGCGAGATTCATGCACAGGGTGGGAGGGGGCATTCCCCTCAGTCCAGCCTGCATGTTCTCCAATCTGGGACCCCTTGGGGGCTGTCTGACTGCCGGTTTAGGCCCAATCCCTGGGGTCAGGCCTGCACGGGCAATCGGACATCCCTCTCACAATCCGGGACCGCTGGCTCCTAATTGCTCACCTGCCTGCCTGCCTGCTTGATGGCCCCTAACTGCCCCTCCTGCCAGCCTGATTACTCCTTACTGCCCTCCCTGCCAACCTGGTCAACCCCAACTGACCCCCTGTTGGCCTAGTCGCCCCTCACTACCCCCCCACCAGCCTAATTGCCCCCAACTAAACCCCCCCACTCCCTCCCACTCTCGCCTGGTCCACCCCAACTGCCTCCTCCGCCAGCCTGGTCACCTCTTACTGACCCCCCTAATCGGCCCGGACGCCTCCAACTGCCCTCCCCTGCCAGCCTAGTCACCCCAACTGCTCCCCCTGCTGGCCTTGTCCCCCCACATAGCCTGCTGTTCAGTCATTTGTTTGTCCCTCACTAACCCCCCAGCTGGCCTGGTCGTAAGCAGCCATCTTGTGAGGGTCCATTTTGCATATGACCTCTTTATTATACAGGATGAAAGGGAGGCTCAGAGAGGTTAAGCAATTCACCCAAGGTCACACAGCTCCTAAGGAAAGGAGGAGCCGGTCTCTAAAACACTTGCCGTTTATCACCGCGTTTTGGCGCATGACAAAAATGCAGATTCCGGGCCCTGACCCAGGATGCTGACTCCTCGGGGCTGGGGGGTACCACGGTCCAGGGTGGATCCCCCCAAGATCTCAGAAGCTTTGTGTCCGAGGTCCGTGTTCTCGGAATCTTAGAACCCAGAGTCCGAGGGACAGGAGTGGCCTCCAGCTCTTCCCGAGGGTGGGGGTAGGTGTGGGGGGGTGCTTCCTCTATCCCAGACGCCTTAGTCCTGCGTTGAATGTGGTAGAAAATGAATCAGTGCCCGGACAGAAGAGGGTGCCTGGTGAGGGCTCCGGCCTTTTGGGTCAGGGACCCGTTGGGGAACTAAGCTATAGGAGCGACCCGGCCGGCAGGAGGGGCAGTTAGGGGCCAACAAGCAGGCAGGCAGGCAGATGAGCAGTTAGGAGTCAGCGGTCCCGGATGGTGAGAGGGATGTCCGATTGCCCGTTTAGACCTGACTCCAGGGATTGGGCCTAAGCTATAGGCCCCTCCAGAAAATGCACTCACGGGACCACAGTCTGCTCAGCCTGGGGAGGGGTTTCACCCACCACGGGCTTGTTTGTGGAGGGGGCACCCCGAGGCCAGCGCTGACCTGTCTCGTGGACCAGGTGGCCTCCGTGGAGGTGGACGCCGTGCACAAGCACTACCTGACCCTCCTGTCCTACGTGGGCTGCGTCATCTCCGCCCTGGCCTGCGTCCTCACCATCGCCGCCTACCTCTTCTCCAGGTAGGACCGGGGAGGGTGGTATAGGGGAGGGAGGCCCGTCCCAGGCACCCAGGCAGGGACCCACCACCCTGGAGACCTGCCCAGGAGATGGGTGTGGCCGTGGGAGCTGTGAGAGGTGCCGGCTGCTGGCCCCTGGGCACCGCAGTCCCTCCTTAGATCTGTGGGGTGTGGATAACGGCACTTACCCCTGAGTTTTGGGAGCATCTGGTGGGTTGTAGTGGCTGATTTGTCTATTTCACTGTCTGGTTAAGGCTTCTATCAAATGCACATAGTAGCCGAAACCAGTTTGGCTCAGTGGATAGAGCGTTGGCCTGCGGACTGAAAGGTCCCGGGTTTGATTCCGGTCAAGGGCACGTACCTTGGTTGTGGGCACATCCCCAGTAGGGGGTGTGCAAGAGGCAGCTGGTCGATGATTCTCTCTCATCGATGTTTCTAACTTTCTATCCCTCTCCCTTCCTCTCTGTAAAAAAAAAATCAATAAAATATACTTAAAAAAATAAATGCATATAGTAGGTGCACAGGGACAAGTGGGAGATGGCTTGCCTGCAGTCAGGAGTTGTGTGTGTGTGTGTGTGTGTGTGTGTGTGTGTGTGTGTGGTGTTTGTGTGTGTAGTCTGGGAAGGCTGCCTGGAGGAGGAGGAGCGGGTATCCCCTCTTTTTCCCATGATGGTCACAGGATAACCATTCCCCCTGCCCCACCCCCACGCAGGAGGAAGTCTCGGGATTACACCATCAAGGTGCACATGAACCTGCTGATGGCCGTCTTCCTGTTGGACGTGAGCTTCCTGCTCAGCGAGCCGGTGGCGCTGACCGGCTCCGAGGCCGGCTGCCGCGCCAGCGCCATCTTCCTGCACTTCTCCCTGCTCGCCTGCCTCTCCTGGATGGGCCTGGAGGGCTACAACCTCTACCGGCTGGTGGTGGAGGTCTTTGGCACCTACGTCCCCGGCTACCTGCTCAAGCTGAGCGTCGTGGGCTGGGGTACGTGGGTGCAGGGTCTTGGGGCCCCCCCGGACCTGCCCTGGCTTCTGGCCAAACCAGGCACCCGTCTGTGCTTCTCCACCCAGCTCTCCGATGGCTTCCTCACTCCTTCCTTCCTCCTTCCCCATCCTCAGGCCGTTCTTTCCCTGGGCCCCACCAGAAAGTGGGGGAGGGTTGGAGTGGGGTGGGGCGGGCCTCCTAGGGTGGGAGATGGAGCTTCCCTTTTTGCTGTCCACAGGCTTCCCTGCCTTCCTGGTGACCTTGGTGGCACTGGTGGATATTAACAACTATGGCTCCATCATCCTGTCTGTGCAAAGGACCCCCGAGAGTGTCATCTATCCTTCCATGTGAGTGGCTTTGCGTGGTGGGGGCAAAAATTTGGGCTTCGGGAGTGCTTCACCTTTGTGCCATCTATATTATTACTTGCTTCAACATTTTCCTTTAAATTATCTAACTGTTGATTTGAATATATATTTTTTTTAAAATTATCAATTATAAGTCGGAAACTAGCATCACTGACAGATACAGTGAGTAATCATACAAACAAACAGGGGGACAAGGAAGCCTTGGTACCAAATGCTGGCTGATAGCTGTATACCGGAGGCTGGCTCTTTGAAAAGGGAGACTAGCAAAGAGTTAGAGGCAGCTGAAACCGGTTTGGCTCAGTGGATAGAGCGTCGGCCTGCGGACTCAAGGGTCCCAGGTTCGATTCCGGTCAAGGGCATGTACCTTGGTTGCGGGCCCATCTTCAGTAGAGGGTGTGCAGGAGGCAGCTGATCGATGTTTCTCTCTCACCGATGTTTCTAACTCTCCATCCCTCTCCCTTCCTCTCTGTGAAAAATCAATAAAATATATTGAAAAATTAATTAGAGGCAACCCCTCCCTCCCAAAACAATACAATAAAAAAACACATTATCACCCAAAGGAGCCTTTCCTTTGGCTTCCGAGAAGGAATAGAGGAGACTTGAGGAGAGAGTGACTTTCCACCCCATGAGCCCCTGGTGTTTAGAGCAGTTCCCCTGCACCCCACTCCCCCCCCACACCCCCACTCCCAGCCCTGCACTGAGCCCCCACCCGCTGAGCCCCCATCCTGGCCCACAGGTGCTGGATCCGGGACTCGCTGGTCAGCCACATCACCAACCTGGGCCTCTTCAGCCTGGTGTTCCTGTTCAACGCGGCCATGCTGGCCACCATGGTGGTGCAGATCCTGCAGCTGCACCCGCGCACGGAGAAGTGGCCCCACGTGCTGACGCTGCTGGGCCTCAGCCTGGTCCTCGGCCTGCCCTGGGCCTTGGTCTTCTTCTCCTTCGCTTCCGGCACCTTCCAGCTGGTGGTCCTCTACTTCTTCAGCATCATGACCTCCTTCCAAGGTAGGCGTGGCCTGCGTGGCGTCGGTGACCCCCAGGGGTCACTTCGGTGCCGGGAGCCTGTGTCCGGTGGAGGAGGGCAGGGGGCGGATCTGAGTCGAGGTAACTCTGGGAGGGAGAAGGCAGGAGGGGGATGGGGAGGAGGATGCTGCCCCCCGCCGGCTGAGCCCCTGCCCCTCTCCCCCCGCCCGCCCTCAGGCTTCCTCATCTTCCTGTGGTACTGGTCCATGCGGCTGCAGGCCCAGGGCGGGCCCTCGCCCCTGAAGAGCGGCTCGGACAGCACCAGGCTCCCCATCACCTCGGGCAGCACCTCATCCAGCTGCATCTAGGCCGCCGGCCCGCCAGCCGGTGTGAAGAGGCAGCGATTTGGCCTTGTACCACTGCTTGCACCCCTGCCGCCACCGGGCCTGGCCACCAGCCCTGGGACCTCAGAGGGGCTGGAGCTGTCGCATGGCGGCCGGACTCCTGGGCTGGGCCTTCTGAATCGGCCCTCGGACCACCGGGCTCTCTCTAACGGGGCTCAGGAGCAGGACCACCCTCCTGGCCGCCCTCACCTGGGGCTGAAGGCCGGGCTGAACCGCAGGCCCCAGAGTCAGGCCGTGGACCTCGGAGGCCTGGCAGAGCCTCTGGCGCCGTGCCTCTGCCCAGGACGGACGTGGTCCGTGGCTTTCCTGTTTCTGGTGCCCGCCAGGCGGGTGCTTTGCAGCCCCTGTCGTTGTAACCCAAGGGTGGCACCCAGGGGAAAGGGATGGGGGCCGAGCTTCAGACCTCGGGGAGAGGAGGAGGAGACTCCTACCCCGCCCCCCGCTCCTGTCCTCCACTCACAGCCCGGTCCTCAGTTCTAATAGTGTATGTTGGGTCCTGGTTCCCCAGAGCTGCCCTGTGCCTGCTGTAACCCTTTACCTACTGCCCGGGCCTTGGCGGGCCCCTGACTCAGGCTTAGTGTAGGTGTTCTGGGCTGCATCCGTTTGTCCACCTGGGCCTTTCTGTAAGCTGCATCACCCTCGTTCACTGCCAAGCCCATACCTCTCGGGGGGCCTCAGCCTCCCCCCACCCCCCAAGGCTCGCTGGTGGCAAGAACCGTGGCACGTGGTGGAAAAAGTCTGCGTCCACCCCAGCACTCTGCGGACGGAGGCACATCTCAGCTGGTGATGCCGGCCTGGAGCCCATCGCAGTTCACTCGGCTGGACACAGAGGGTCGGACCTGGTCTCTCCCCCCCGCTGTGAGCTCCTAGCCTCGGGTGCGAGGCGCACACGAGACCAGAGCTCCTGGAGCTACAGGCATGGGGTTGGGGGGATGGGGGAGCCAGCCGCCTGATAGGGGAATCCAGGAAGACTTCCTGCAGAGGCAGCCCCGGTTCTGCATCTCAGCCTTCCAGAGGGGGAGGGTTTTTTTTTCTAGCGACCAATTCGTTTGTCTTCGGTGTTGAAAAGGAAGCGATGTTTGTTGTAGGGAACGTGGGAAGTTGTAGAAGCGCGTGAAGAAGAAAATAAAAATCAGCTCTTGTCATCGTCTAACACACCGACGTGAACACGTGGGAATGCGGCCCCCCGAGTTTTCTTCTCGGCGTCTGTTCAAAGTCACTGATGGGGGAACGTGAAAGAGAGACGGGGATTAGGTGGTGGGGAGGTGGGGAAGGGGGGACAAAGCAAAACACCTACCGGACAAGGGGGAGGATGAATGGCAACTTGGAGTCAGTGCTGGGGAGGCGATGGGGAGCGGTGGGGTCTGTGGCGAACTGGACGTGACAAACCCACACCGAGGAGCAGCCGCTGCTCACCTCCAGCCGGTCACTGCCCCGCAGGGATGAGAGCCTGTGCAGCCCAGTGGTCGGCAAACTCATTAGCCCACGGAGCCAAATACCAACAGTACCATGACTGAAATGTCTTTGGAGAGCCACATTTCTTAAACTTCTTCTAACACCACTACTTCAACGTAGACTCGCCCAGGCCGTGGCATTTTGTGGAAGAGCCACACTCAAGGGGGCCAAAGAGCCGCATGTGGCTCGCGAGCCGTGGTTTGCCGACCACCGGTGCAGCCAGACCACCTGCCTTTGATGAGAAACCCAGATTGTGGCGGTGTCAGATCTCTTGGTTTTTAAAATCGTGGCCAATACAGCCGAAACCAGTTTGGTTCAATGGATAGAGTGTTGGTCTGTGGACTGAAAGGTCCTGGGTTCGATTCCGGTCAAGGGCATGTACCTTGGTTGCGGACACATCCCCAGTGGGGGTGTGCAAAAGGCAGTTGGTCGATAATTCTCATTGATGTTTCTAGCTCTCTATCCCTCTCTTTTCCTCTCTGTGAAAAGTCAATAAAATACATTTAAAAAAATAAAATCGTGGTGGCCAATCCAAAAAAATTCGCTGGCCAATCCAAAAAAAGTCACACCTGAGGGCTGATTCAGCTCTCGGCGGGTCACGTGACACGTGTCACCGGTTTCTGGGCCGGTGGGAGGTACAAGGGCTGCAAGAATGAAATGACTGACCGGTTCTCCCGTCACCGCCGCCTCCAGCCTTGCCCAGTCCAATCTCCCCGCTCCACCCCGTGGCCCAGGTGAGGCAGATCAAGTGCACTCTGTCCGCTTGGGTGAGGGGAGCAGACGTGTCTGATTGATGCTCTCCGTGTCCGGGCCTTAAAGGCCGGTGCCCGTCCGCCTCGAGCTTTCTGCCCTCTGTGGCCCCTCCCTCCGCTCCCAGCTGCCCCGGGGCGGTGTGTGTGTGTGTGGCGTGCCTCAGACCCTCTGAGGATTTGCTGCCAGGACGGGTCTCCGGGGATGGGCCTAGCAGGTAACAGTTCACTGTCGGGACCTCACGTGGTCAGCAAGCTGCTGGGTGGGGAGGAGGGTCAGGCCCAGTGGTTTCCGTCCGTCCTCCCAGTCTTCCCTGCAGGGTCACACCTGGGGCCCCATGCCAGATTCCTGTCTGCCGCCACACCCCACAAGTGACCCAGACATGCCCTCCCCGAGCTCCTCGGCTCAGAGGGCCCAGCTGGGGACCGAGCCCTGTCCAGACGCCATGTGAGAGGAAGTGGGGATAGAGGCCGGTCGGGCTGGGTGGGTCCCCATGGGGCCCCCAAAGCAGAGCAGGTGTGGCTCTGGCCTGAGCTGGAGGGGGCACTGGTGACAGGCACCTTCTTGGCCGAGTGCCCTTTACCTTCTGATCTCAGAGTGGCAGTGGACTCCTTGGGGCCACCAGAGTTGGGGACTAAGTGGCCAGCCCCTCCCTTCTTCATGCCCCACCCCATGTGTGTTTGCTTTCCCAATTTGCTGCCTGGGCCACAATTTGAGCTCTGGGCGGTGATGACAGTGATTTCGCAGTGACAATCAGGCCATCATGGGGACGATAATGGCCACGCAACGTGGCTGAGCAACCCGCTGGCATCAACTCATGAGATCGCTACGCGCCTCGTGAGAGGCTCAGAGTAACGGACAGCTCAGGAGAGCCAGGAAGTGGCCAGGACAGACATCAGCTCAGGCCCGGCCAATCCCCAGAGCCCATGCTCTTGTCCCCGCCCCCTTCCTAGCCTGCCTGTCCGGGTGGGAAAGGGCCTGGGCCCCTGGGCTGGCTCCCTCCCTTCTCCCAGCCCCAGCGGGCACGGAGCCTGGCTTTGTTCGAACCGTGGGCACCGTAGGCATGAGCAAGAGACCACAGATTCCACCATGTCCGATCTCCTCCCTGTAGCCAGGCTGTGTGCCCGCGTGTAAGGGCCTCCTCCAGCTCTGGCCTCGTCCTGGGAGGCAGCAGCCCATTGCCGTTTGCTTCACAGAGGAGGAAACAGAGGCTCCGAGAGGCCCCCAGCTTGGGAGAGGGAGGTCTGAGCTGGGTGTGCCTGACTCCAAAGCCCGTGCTCGCCATCACTCCCCGGCGGCCGGCTCTTGTGAGGCCTCTGTGGCCGCGGGGCCCGGAGCGCGTCCCCCGGGGGGTTCAGCGGCTCCTGTCCAGTCCGGCTCCCTGTGCGAGAGGTCGCAGAATCCGGTGAGAGGGGAGCACTGCCCAGTTCCCCACCTTTCACAACTCAACCGATGGTGTCACGAAGCAGGAAGGGTTACGAAGAGGCCACAGGAAGCGCTGACGCTGCGGGGAGGGCGGGGGCAGAGGGCTCTGCCGAGCCCGGGACCAGAGGACACACAGCCACAACGCTCCGGCCGGAGTGGACGAGGCTGGCCGAGGATGGTGCCGCCCAGCCAGGGGGCCCTGCTCCTCCCGCTCCTCCTGCTCCTGGCCTCAGGTGAGGAACTGGCCCCTCACCCCTCCTGCCCAGCCCGGGACCCCGTGCCTGGATGGGTAGGGAGGGGGCTTGAGTCAGATGCCATCCTGGTGAACTGTGGGCATCCGGGCCTCAGATCAGTGCCCTGGGGGTGGAGGGAGCATGGAGAGTGCTCCCCACTGTGCCACCTGCACCGTGGCTCCTTGGCAGGCCTGGACCTGGACACAGGTGGGCCTGGGACACAGGTGGGCCTGGGACACGGGTGGGCCTGGGACACGGGTGGGCCTGGGGCACGGGTGGGCCTGGGACACAGGTGGGCCTGGGACATGGGTGGACCTGGGGCACGGGTGGGCCTAGGACATGGGTGGGCCTGGGATATGGGTTGGCCCTGGGACTTGAGTGGGCCTGGGGCACGAGTGGTCCTGGGACCCAGGTGGGCCTGGGACACAGGAGGGCCCTAGGACATGGGTGGGCCTGGGACACGGGTGGGCCTGGGGCACGGGTGGGCCTGGAGCATGGGTGGGCCTGGAGCACAGGTGGGCCTGGACAAGCTCTGGGAAGGGGCAGGGGAGCTGTAGAGCCTGAGGCCTGGCAGGGCTTACACTGCCCTCCCACCACCTCCACCGGCCGCCCTCCCTGTCCCTGCAGTGGCCCCATCGTCCTTAGGCACCAGGCCAGGAACAAGCCTCTCCTGCCGCCTCACTGGCCCCACACACAGTGGCCGCTCTCCAGGGGCGGTCTGAGAGCCCCAGGCCTTGCCCTCGCCGGTCTCTTTCCCCGGAGAGCTGTGTTCCAGCCCCCGCCCGCCTGGCCAGCTCTTACTCACCTTCCTGCTGCTCTGGAAGTCCATGGTGACCCCTCAGGCAGAGGGGGGGGACCTGCTGCGGGAAACTGTCTCTGCACAAGGGGAGGCTGCTTGGGGTCAGTGCTGGGGAGGCGATGGGGAGCGGTGGGGTCTGTGGCAAACTGGATGTGCCAAACCCACACGGAGGGGGCAGCTGCTGCTCACCTCCAGCCGGTCACTGCCTCCCAGGGACGAGAGCCCATGCAGCCAGACGCCTGCCTTTGATGAGAAAGGGACACCTGCCATGACTTATGTCCTTTATGCTATGATTTCTCATCTACTCCAAAGCCCGTCAGCCTCATTGGACTGGTGAGATGATGGAGCCTCAGAGAATTTAAGTAACTTGCCTGAGGTCACACAGCTTGTATGTGCCACAGGGGCCCCAGTTTAATGTATTCTCGACTCTCCTCAGGAGGTGGCTGTGAGGGTTGCCATGGGCATGGGGGAGAATGAGGCAAACCAAGACCAATACATGCATAAGGCCACGGTTGCAAGGGCTTTGGAAAGTCTGAAACAGCTGCAAAAAGCCAGGCAGACTTCCTGGAGGAGGTGCAAAAGGGGACTATCACTAACTTATTAAACCTTTTATCTACAGAGCCACAGTTGTACAGACTTTCTCCAAAGCATCCCAATGGGGGAGGGAGAGGGAGGGGTAATCTCCTTTCACCTTGGGCCCGAGGCCCAGGGAAGGTGTGCTCCGGCTCAAATGCACACGATAAAAAGTGTGAATGGGCGGAGCTGGGGTTCCAGCCCACACCACAGACCCTGGAGTCCTTGCTGCCCCTTCACACTCTGCATCCCTCCCTCAGGCGAGAAAGATTTCACAAACAAGTCCGAACACACAGCCAAGTCTGAGCAGCCGAGGGATGTCTGCATGGGGGTCATCAATAAGGACCTTTACGAACCCTTCTATCTGAATGACACCGCAAAGTGCTTCAATGAGTGTGCACAGTCCGGGAACTCCTGTCACCTGGGAAACCTGCAGAGGTAACAAGGCCCTCTGAGCTGGAGCAGGGATCTGGGGTTCCTGCAGGGGTGGGGAGGAGGGATGGGATGGAGCTATCAGCCCCCACTGGGGATCGAGCCTGCAACCTGGGCATGTGCCCTTGACCAGAATCAAACCTGGGACCCTTCAGTCCGAAGACTGATGCTCTATTCACTGAGCCAAACCGGCCAGGGCCTATATTTTAAATAGAAGAAGAATATAGTCAATTTGCATTTTAGAAAGATTGCAAGGACTTGCCAGAGCCAACAGTATCCTGTCACAGTGTTTCCTCGGGGCTGGGCCACTTCCCCTCCTTGCTGTCATCATATACTTCACAGGGACCTTATTTATCTCGACACTCAGCAAAGCATCGCTAGTCCACATTGTGCTGATTAGGTTTGATGAGCAGAAAGTGACACGTACTTAAGACGCCTTAGGAAGACATAAGTGAATGAGAGGATAGGAGATAAACCCCGAAGGAATTCAGGGGCCCATCATCGCATTAAATTGTCTGGGCATTCAGATGTCTGGACAATGTCAAGATGGCCCCTCCAACGTAAAAGGCGAGTTGTTTAATGTCACACCACTTACCACAAAAAAAAAACAACAACAACAAAAAACAAACAACCAGCAGGCACAACGTGGAAAGACATGTATTCGGCAAACATAGAATAAAGGAATCTAAGCAGCTATACTACCCGTGTCTCCCCCAAAATAAGACATCCTCTGAAAATAAGACCTAGCGCATGGAAAGATAAGACATCCCCTGAAAATAAGACCTAGCACAACTTTGGGAGAAAAGATTAATATAAGACACTCTTATTTTCGAGGAAACAGGGTAGTATCAGGCAGGGAAATGATGGTACTTACGTGGGTGTCAGTGTTGTAATTAAAAGTCAGTGTTACCGCGATGCTTTAGACTTTTTGAAAATGTTACATTTCATGCCTAAAATAATTTTAAAAATATATTTTACTGATTTTTTTCAGAGAGGAAGGGAGAGAGAGAGCTAGAAACATCGATGAGAGAGAAACATCCATCAGCTGCCTCCCACCAGGGATGTGCCCACAACCAAGGTACATGCCCCTGACTGGAATTGAACCCTGGACCCCCCAGTCCGCAGGCTGATGCTCTATTCACTGAGCCACATCGGTTTTGGCCTGTTTCCATTTTTAAAAGGTAAACAAAAGCTAGTCTCCACGGACATGGTTCAATCAATGGATTTGGGCAGCCTCGCCCCACCGCTTCTGGTGTGATGGTGTTCTAATTGCCCGCTACACTCAGGCACATTGGCACATATCTGTGTGGCTTACTCTTCATATTACACAATATTTTTTCTGTGGTTTCTTGGGGGTGGTTTTCCCTTGGTAACTTGAGTGTTCAAAAATGATATCAAAATAAGAGCCTCCTTTTGTGTTCCTGGCAAGCTGTCCAAGCTACTTCTTTCCAACAGCCTTGATCTGGCTGTATCTGCCCTCCACCCTCACTCCTTCCCTCCCATTGCTATCTCAGGTCTAGCCTGAGCAGCGGAGCTTAGGTTTAAGAAAAACCACCACCTGCTGCGCATTGAAGTTTCAGTACCATGGAGAGCGCCACGCACTGGCCTCACCTTGCTATTTGAGCGGAGGAGGCCCCGGGGGCGTTGGTAAAATAAATGCCAATTACCTTCTATGTTCCCTGAGGTTCAACAGCAGCTCAGTTCCCAGAAGTCAGTTTTCACACAGCCCCACCTGCAAAGACTGAATTCCCAGGATGCAGTGAGGACTCAGTACACGGGAGGAAGCGCTCACCCACACCACCAATTACCACCCCGCGGTTCACTATGCTCGGAGGAATTTCTCCGAAGGAGCGATGCAACGCCCAGCTCGCATATAAAAAGACGCTCACCATCATCACACATCAGGGAAATGCAAATTAAAACCACAACGAAATGCCACTTTCTACCTACTCGGATGGCTGCAATTTAAAACAAAACGAAAAATACATACTGAGAAGTACACGAGAAAGTCAGAGCATAACTCGTTGGCGGGAATGTAAAATGGTGCGACGGCTGTGGAAAACAGCCTGACAATTCCTTAAAAAGTTAAGCAGCTGAAAATGGTATGGCTCAGTGGATAGAGCGTCCCAGGTTTGATTCCAGTCAAGGGCATGTACCTTGGTTGCAGGCACATCCCGGGTAGGGGGTGTGCAGGAGGCAGCTGATCGATGTTTCTTTCTCATCGATGTTTCTAGCTCTCTATCCCTCTCCCTTCCTCTCTGTAAAAAATCAATAAAATATATATATATATATATTTTTTTTTTTTAAGTTAAGCAAAGTATTAACACCAACTTCACTCCTAGGTCTGTACCCAAAAGGATGGAAAATACATCCTCAGACAAAAGCTTGTATGTGAATGTTCATAGCAGCCCTGTGCACAATAGTCCGAGCATGGAAATGACCCAGATGTCCATCAATGGACAAATGGATAAACAAAATGTGATAGATCCACACAATGAAATATCATTCGCCCATAAGAAAAGGAATGAAACACTTGTACATGCTACAGCATAGACGACCCTCGAAAACACTGTGCAAAGTAAAAAAGCCAGGCACAAAGGGTCAGAGGTCACCTAATTCCTTTTCTATGAAATATCCAGAATTGGCAAATGTATCGAGACAGAAGCCAGATTAGTGGCTGCCAGGGGATAAGGGAGGAGGGAAAAGAGTGACTGCTTAATGGGAATGGGGTGATGAATTGTACACTTTAAAAAATATATTTTTATTGATTTCAGAGAGGAAGAGAGAGGGAGAGAGAGAGAGAAAAAGAGAGAGAGAGAGATCAATGATGAGAGAGAATCATCGATCGGCTGCTTCCTGCAGGCCCCACACCGGAAATCAAGCCCACAACCTGGGCATGTGCCCTGACTGGGAATCAAACCATGACCTTCTGGTGCGTAGTTGGACGCTCAACCAGTGCGCCACACAGGCTGGGCAATTGTACACTTTAAGTAGTTAAAATGTTGTGTTCTGTGGAAGTTTTCCCAAGGAGACAAACACGTGACATGCTCCGAGGCACTGCTGTCTGGACCCCCTCGGACGAGCTTGGGCTGTTCCCTCCCCACCCCTCTCCTTGGTGCTCCCAGGTCTTCCCTTTGCTCTTCTGGGTCCCCCCTCCTCCCTAAGAACCTGGTGATCCTGTCCCACGATGTCTCTCCTCCTTTCGCCCAGGCTGGGGGCCAGGTGAGTGGGCGGCTCAGCTGGCAAGGCCCCACATGGCCCCTGCCCCCGGCCCCTTGCAGATACTGGCTGGACTATGAGACCTACCTGGTGGAGGGGCGTCTGAGGGAGACGGTGGACCTGCCTTTTCTGAAGGCCGTTGTCAAGAACGTCAGCACCAGCATCGCGGGAGACCTGCACTTCTCTCTGAGCCCCTCCCAGGTGACGAGGCCCTGCCCCTGCTGGCCGGCTCTGGCCGGTTTCCCCAGGCGTGGCTTTCAGAATTCTGCAAAGGTCACGGCCCAGCCCCCCTGTGTCCTGTAGGCTCCTCCGCCTTGCTCATGGCTGCTGCTGAGCTAAGTGGATGAGTGGAACCCGGGAACAGAGTGTCCAGATTTTTCTAGGATGAGACACCTCGTTACCCCCATTCTCCATATTGGGAAAACTGAGGCCCCGTGAGTGCCATGACGTGTCCAGGGGCTCACAGCCTGGACAGAGAGAGCTTGGGCCGTGCCCTCAGATGTCCTGTCTCTCTACCTGGCGTGCCTCGGTTTCCCTTCCCCATGGGGGAGTGGCGGGACCTGAGTTGGGGGCTGGGTCAAGAAGGAGCCGCCGGGTCTGTGGTTTCAGATCCCGGAGCTGGTGATGAAGGACGAGCACAAGTTCCCCGACAGAGTGCGGCTGCCCAGGAGCCTGCTCACCTCCCTGCAGGGCAGCCGGCCGCTGGTCCCCTTGGCCGTCTCTGTGCTGGACATCGGCCCCGGGAACCTCTTCAAGGTGAGGAGCCGGACGGGGGGCAGGATGGAGGGCAGGGCAGCTCGGAGGCTCCCAGGCAGTGCTTGTCGCCCAATGGCGATGGAGAAGGCGATGGGCTGCTGCAGCTCACGGCCTTCCCAGGCCCATCTCTGGAGTCTGTGGACTTCGGACACACACTGGTCCTCACACTCAAACATTCAAATCCCACATACCAGTGACCTTGGGCTGCGTGTGTGACCCACGTGTGCCCATGTCCCTGTGGGTCCCTGTGCATGCACAAGCATGCATGTCTTTCCTCTTCCTGGTACACACACAGTCCACATGAGCGAGTGTACCCGTACCCATGCAGGTGTGTCCCATGCGTGTGTGTCTCTACATGCAGGTGTGTCCCATGCGTGTCCCAGAGCCATGTATCTGCTCCCATGTAGACGTGTGCATGCCCAAGTGCTGGTGTGCCCAGGCCTTCGGTGGTGGGGTACTTAGCCCCCATGCACCCCCAACCCCCCCATTTCTGGGCTGATGTTTCTCCTGGCCCTGGACTCCTCCAGTGAAGAGGCAGAGGATGAAGGGGATGGGAGGCCAGGGATGGAGAGGGTGGGTGCCTGGCTTGGTGACCAGGAGGCCATAGGGAGCAGCGGGGAGGATGTCACCCATGACCCTTGGTCCTCTGGCCCCTGGTGTCAGACTTTGCCCTCCAGGCAAGGACCACGGGTCCCGGGGGCTCCCGAGAACCCTGCCACGGCTGAGCGGAGACAGCCCCTCCTGCAGCCTGACCCCTCATCTCCCTCCAGGGCCCCCAGCTCAGCCTGGAGGACGGGGGCAGCGTGCTGAACAACCGCCTGGTGGGCCTGAGCTTGGGCCGGATGCGCGTCACGGCGCTGCAGGAGCCCGTGGAGATCACCTTCTCGCACCCGCGCCAGCCTCCGGTGAGCCCCCACCCGGGCCGGCAGGGACGCAGGGGCAGACAGGCGGGTGGGCACGCCTGGGCACACGGACAGACACGCACAAGGCACCGCACCGTCCACCCTGCACCTGCACCAGGAGAAGCCGTTAGGACCACACACACAGTTGTGCCCAGGGATGCGTGTCCACTCTGTGCGCGGATGCCTACACATCTCTGGAACCCTCCCAGTCACGTGCTCACAGAGTGCACACAGGACCTGGCACACCCACATGCATGCCCAAGGCGTTACCCACCCACCCATAGACAGGCGACCCTCCCACCCGCAGCCCGTCACCATAGCCAGGCCCTCATGTGCCGATCCAGGGGCCACCCACGGTGTGGCCCGCGTTCCTATGTGGCCTTCATGTTCCTGGGGTGAGCCTTGCACACACATGCTAAGAGGAGGGAGCGTGCGGTCCTCCCCTCTCCCAGCCTCCCCTGCCTCTCTCCTGACTCCCATTCTCTGGTTGCAGAACATGACCCTCACCTGTGTGTTCTGGGATGTGACTAAAGGTAGGGCCTGGAGGGCCTCCCCTGGGTAAGACAGGTGGGGAGAGGATCCCTGTGGGCCCCTGTACATGCACAAACATGCGTGTCTTTCCTATTCCTGGTGCACACACAGTGCACGTGAGCGAGTGTACCCGTACCCATGCAAGCGTGTCCCATGCGTGTCCCAGAGGCATGTATCTGCTCCCATGCCTCTTGGTACCCCTCCCCTCCTCTCTGGCCCCCTCTCTTCCTTCTCCCCTCCCTCCCCTCCTCATGACCCTCTTGCCTCCTCTCCAGGGCCAACAGGAGACTGGTCTTCCGAGGGCTGCTCCACGGAGCACGGAGCCCAGGCGACGGTCTGCCGCTGCGACCACCTGACCTTCTTCGCCCTGCTGCTGGTAACTGTCCCCTTGCAGCACCCCCCCCCCCAACCCCGCTGCCCCCAGCACTTCTGGAGGGGCCCAGCCTCCTGTCCTGGGAGGGGGCTTCCTGGCAGGGGCCGTGGCTTTGGGGGTGGGTGGGCCTGGCCGCTGGCTGATGGGGTCCTGGTTGGGATGTTGCCCACAGAGGCCGGTCTTAAACAAGGCCGCCGTGCAGGCCCTCACGCGGATCTCCCAGGTGGGCTGTGGCGCCTCCATGGTTTTCCTGGCCTTCACCATCGTCTTCTACGTGGCCCTGAGGTGGGTGACCCATCCCCATTCCCCCACCCCTCCCCCACGTTCTCAAAGGCAGCACACGTGCAGGGCCAAAGGCACCTGGTTGTTCAAACTTATATAGCTATCCATCCCCAGACCTCAGTGTTCTCATCCATAAAATGGGGCTGGAGGTTGCAGTGTGTTGGGGTCATTTCGGTTAATACATGTGGCAGAAACTCAATGCCCATGGGTGTAATCGTCTAAGTGTTTCCCAAAGTGTGGTGCGCGTCCCCCCAGGGGTACGGGAAGGGTTTGGTGGGGGTACGCGTTGCACCGGAGCTTGGTGGGGATATGCACTGCACCGTGCTTAGCTGCGTCTCATTCTGCGTTCTCATGAGCACGAGGGGTACTCAGCGTAACGAAAATGATAGAAGGGGTACACATAGGTCAAAAGTTTGGGAAACACTGGTCTAAGGGATGTGTGGTCCATGTAACTGAAAGGCCCGGTGAGCTCACAACAGGTGGGACTGGATCCAGGACCAGGTGCCCAGGAGCTGGTCTCCCTCTGCTTCTCATTCTCCACTCTCTTATCTTTGTCCATCGTGTCCGGCAGCTTCTCCGTCCCCAGGGGCTCCGGGGAGCCCAGGCTTGCATCACAGCCTCTCAGCTGCCTAGACCTGTGGTCGGCAAGCCGCGGCTCTCGAGCCACATGCGGCTCTTGGGCCTCTTGAGTGTGGCTCTTCCACAAAATACCACGTGTGGGCGCAGCAGTGCGATGGAAACTTTGTGGCCCGCCCATGCGCAGAAGCCGGCTTTCGGCCTGGGCGAGTCTATTTTGGAGAAGTGGCGTCAGAACACTCAAGGGGCCAAAGAGCCGCATGTGGCTCGCGAGTCGAGGTCTGCCGACCCCTGGCCTAGACAGTGAACATCGTACGCTGAGCCCCAGAACTGAAGTCTTTCAAACATTAATAAGCAATGGTAGCCCGGCCGGCGTGGCTCAGGGGTTGAGTGCTGGGGCTCGATTCCCCGTCAGGGCACAAGCCCGGGTTGCGGGCTCAATCCCCCAGTCGGGGGCGTGCAGGAGGCAGCCGATCCATGGTTCTCTCTCCTCACTGATGTCTCTCTCTCTTTCTCTCCCTTCCGCTCTGATATACACACAAATATACTTAAAACTAACTAAAGAAATACAGACTAACAGAAAGTGGTGAAGACAGTGCACTGAGTCCCATGCTTTTTTTTTTTTTTTTTTTTTTTTTTTTTGCTTTTTTTTTTTTTTTTAAATAATCCAGCTTCCCCCAAAGATGGCATTTTCTAGTACCCTCGATTTCCAAGCCAGGCCCGGAAAGCAGAACACATCCAGGGAACGGCGGGTTATGCCGAAGCATCGGGCTGAGGGAGGAGCCCGGCGGGATCCGGGTGGCCAGGAGAGAGGGGGCTCCTGGACCGGAACCGAGGGCCCTCGCTCTGGCCGCGGCAGGGGTGGAGCAGAGGAGGTGGGAGGCGGGGGAGGAAGAGGCCCGTGATGCTGTGGCCCTGGCAGCCTCTCGCCGGCCCTTCCCCCCCCAGGCTCTCCTGGAAGAGGTTCAAGTCCGAGGACGCCCCCAAGATCCACGTGGCCCTGAGCGTCAGCCTGTTTCTCCTGAACCTCACCTTCTTCGTCGACGTGGGGCAGGGCCCCGGGGGATCCCACGCCGCCTGCGCGGTCCGGGGCGCCGTCTTCCACTACTTCCTGCTCTGCGTCTTCACCTGGATGGTCCTGGAGTCCTTCCACCTCTACCTGCTCGTCGTCAGGGTCTTCAACACCTACTTCGGGCACTACTTCCTGAAGCTGAGCCTCGTGGGCTGGGGTAGGTGCTGCCGGGCCGGGCGGAGGAGCTGGCTGGGGGGGGCGGTGTCTGAGTTCCAGCCGTGCCGTGCCCTCTCCCCCCGCCCAGGCCTGCCGGTCCTGATGGTCATCGGCACCGGCAGTGCCAACAGTTACGGCCTCTACACCATCCGGGACGAGGAGAACAGGACCACGCTGGAGCTGTGAGTGGTGGCAGTGGGAGCAGGAGGGGCGCCAGGTCCCAGGCTGCACACGTGGAGTCCACTGGGAAGTGGGGAAAGAGGGGACCCTGGGAGGAGAGACCCAGGGAGTCCAGGCGAAGGATCCTCCTATCCGCAGGGGTAAACTGAGGCCCGGAGAGAGGATAGGCAATGAGCGAGGAGGAGGAGGAGGAGAGAGAACCGGAGCAGGAGGCAAACATAACATGACTTTGGGGCCCAATTGATCCTTTTGCACCCACTGGTCCAAAGAGAGAGCAGAACCCTAGCTGGTTTAGCTCAATGGGTAGAACACCGGCCTGTGAACTCAAGGGACTCAGGTTGGATGCCAGTCAAGGGCACATGCCTGGGTTTTGGGCTCCATCCCCAGTGGGAGGCGTGCAGGAGGCAGCTGATCCATGATTCTCTCTCATCACTGATGTTTCTATCTCTCTCTCTCTCTCCTTTTCCCTTCCTCTCTGAAATCAATAAACATATATTTGAAAATGAAATAAAAAATAGGACACCAGACCAGAGCCTCCCACAGCCCTTCCCCAGGAGTGTGGGGTTGCTGGGTGGAGCTGGAAGGGCGCCTTTTTGGTCGCTGAAGGTTAGCCCAGGGAGACTGCCCAGGGCTCGCTGGTCAGGGGGACTGGACCCTGTCCTAATGGCCGTCCCCCTCCGCCAGGTGCTGGTTCCGGAAGAGAGCAGCCCTCTACGCCACCGTCCACGGCTACTTCCTCGCCACCTTCCTCTTCAGCGCCGTGGTGCTGGGCCTGCTGGCCTGGAAGATCTTCACGCTGGCGAGTGCCACGGCCGGCAAGGAGCAGCGGCAGCACTGGAAGGGCGTCCTCACCCTGCTGGGCCTCTCCAGCCTGGTGGGCGTGACCTGGGGGCTGGCCGTCCTCACGCCGCTGGGCCTGGCCTCCATCTACATCTTCGCGCTGTTCAACTCCTTCCAAGGTGAGGCCCCTGGGCCCGGGGGCGGGAGGTGGGGATGGGAGGCAGGGGAGAGAGTGGATCGCAAGATTTTACCAAGGGGCTATTTGTCCTGGGGGCAGCCGCCGCCAGGCCGCCTGCTCCTGGCCCCACCCCACCCTCCTCACCCCGGCTCGGCCTCGCCCTCTCCTCCGCAGGAGTCTTCATCTTCTGCTGGTTCATCGTCCTCTACTTCCCCAGCCAGAGTACCGTGTCCTCCTCCTCAGGCACCGCCCGGGCTGAGCAGACACACACGGCGTCCTCGCAATGACAGGACTCGGCTCCGACCCGCTGTGGGCACCTGGACAGCTCCCTGCCTCCCCCTGGGGCTTCGGTCTCCAAGTCTGTGGGGTGCGCGGGGGAGGGAGGGGGAGGGACCACATGATCTCAGAGGTCCCACCCAGGTCCTCTCTGCTCTCAGAATCCCCCAATCCAGGACTGCAGGGGCCCAAAGATCCTATGACCCTGAGCCTCCTACCGGCATGGAGCGGCACCCTCCCCCCTGCCGCTCTGCACACCCCCACCCCACCCCACCCCACCCCCACTTCGGAGCAAAGCAGCCCGTCTCTGCCATTGCCCACCTTCTGGTCCCAGGGAGGGGGGAGTCTTGCTGGCACAGCCCCTCCGAGGAGCCCAGCCTCCCCCCCCCCCCCCCGTTGTCACTGCCTCTGCACCCGCCGGCTCCCCTGCCCGTGGTGAGGGATGACGGGGGGGGGGCATTTAGGAGGAGTCTGCCCCTCAGACACCAGGTAGTTGTGAACTGGAGGTTTGTTTGGGGGGGTCAGTCCCCCAGCTCCCCCTGGTCTCAGCCAGTGCCACCATGGCCTATTATCACAGAACCCCCCCCCCCCATGTGGGAGGCCTGCCAGCCCTTCAGGTGCCAGGACACTGGCATTCAGAGAATGCCACTCAGTAGGAGAGACCCCCCTTCCCCCCCAGCAAGGCCCCTGGTCCCATTCTGACTGCCATGTGGCTGGCTTGACCTCTAATCTGCTGTCACGGTAGGGGTCATGGTGGGGGTCACGGTGGGGATCACAGTGGGCTGGAGGTGCAGGGCAGGGGAGGGGGCTGGGCTTAGCAGAGAGAGCGAGCACATCCCCCTAGCCTTCTCTCTCCTCCCCCCCAGAATCTGAGCACCTACAGCTACAGACAGGAGGGAAGGGGGAGGGGGCCTTGCCGGCCTCACTAGCCCGGCCAGCCCAGCCCCGGTGCGTCTGGGGCCCTGAGCAGACATCCGCCGGCCTCATAGGTGGGAGTGTGAGCTTGGCAGCAGCCGGACAGAGCCCTGAGCCAGGGGGGTGTCCCAGGCCAGACCCCGCTTCCAGCAACCAGGCCTCTGGGCCACTAGCAACCACACACGTTTCCTCCACAGGAAACACCAGGAGCAGAGTATAGAGATGGAGGAAGAGATACAGAGAGAGAGAGAGCTACAGAGAGAGCATTCACAGATGAGCTGATGCGAAGGCAGAGAGCAGAGAGGGACAGAGGAGAGAGACAGCAGCCCTCCTCCCCACATCCCGCTTCCCCAGCCTGCAGACAGGAGGGCAGGGCCCTGGGATGGTCCCCCTCCCCGAGCCCCATTCCCCCATCACGTTCCCGCTCCAGCCTTGACTTATTAACAGCGGGGATTGCACCCCTCCCACCTGCACCCTACCCAGGGGGCTTTGCAGCGGGGGCGGGGGCGGGCACCTTCTAATGAAGAGAAGTTAGTCCCCTGAGACTCTCCCCACGGCCCCGCGGCTGCCGGCCTGCCACCTCCCAGATGCCAAGTCGGGACCAGCCACAGATGATACACAGGAAGGGAGGAGGGAGCCCTGTCTTAAGCAAGTCACCGTGTTCCTGGAAGGGAAATCCTGGGGTGTGGCCATCGCATCAGCTGAGCCACAGGCTTCGGTTTGGTGCACACCCTCGGTGGGTCTGGGGGTGTCTTCACAGACCTGTTTCTCATGCCAAGGATCTCTGCGCCCTACCCCCATCCTCTTGGAGCTGCCAACCGGTGCTCAGGAAGAACAGAGGGACGCCAGGGCCCCAGGGGCCTGGGTTCAAATCCCGCCTCTGCTTCTAAGGGGCCCTGTGACCCTGCACCTGTCACCACACCTCTCTGAGCCTGTTTCCCGCTCTGTGCAACGGAGATCGGGCCCTCGCCTCGTCCTGAGAGCACTCAGCGCGGTGACAGAAGCCAAGCGCCCCGCACGATTCAGGGGGGAGGGAGTTGGCTCCCCGGGACCCCCTTCCTTGGCTCAAAGAGAAACCTGGTGGAGCCCTTGTGTAGAGCGTGAGCCTGGGTGTGAACTAGGAGGTCCGGGGCCCGGGGGTGAAGGTTAAGGCTCCCTTCAGATCCCTTCTCAGCTCTGCTGAGTGCTCAGCCCTGTGTGGGGACGGGGCATGGTGGCCCCGAGAGGCCCAGCACCGACACCAGCCCACTACGGTGGGGCCTCCTGGGTCGCTGGCCCTCCTACTGGGGCACTGCCTGGGCTCAGGAGTGACACCTCTCCCTGACCCCTTGAGCCCTGGGCTGTGGTTCTCCCAGGCACCCTTGTGGAAGCCCAGCCCCAGAGGAGCAGGCAGAGGAGGGCAGAGGAGCCGGGGTCCCTCGCTGCCTGGGGTCACTGCCCAAGCAGCTCCAGGCGCCGAGCAGAGCGTGTGGGAAGGGCAGGTGGGGCAATGGTAAACATGCACCCTGAGGCCCAGCGTGAATGAATGAACGGGGTTCCCCTGTCCCTGAACCATCACGATAGCAAGCAGGCGGAGGGCAGCACTGTAGTTAAAAGCACCGACTCTGGGGTCGTCCTGCCTGGTCCAGACTCTGCCTCTGCAACCTGCCCAGGACCAGCTCCTCACCCACTGGCCCCAGCAGACAGGGGTGGCAGTCGCCGCCCCACAAGGTTGATGAAGGATTAAATGAGATGCTGGCTGAGAGGGCTGCCTGGTGCCCGGCCCACCTGGTCCCGCAGGAATGTGACTGGGCCTGAGCTTGGCCTTGGCCTACAGAGGTCATCGGTGCAGAGGTCATTGGTGGGCTGCAGAAGGTCATCGGTGCAGAGGTCATTGGTGGGCTGCAGAAGCCCCCACTCTCCCCCCCACCACCACCATGGCTCCCTGGTTTTCCCAGTTCTACCCCAATTTATTTACTCCTAGTATTTTTTTTTATTACAGTATAATAAATATACAGGAAATTAGAAGACCTACTTCTTCTGTGCTCTCTAATAGATAATATCAAAAGACAAAAATTACTCACAAATTCACCTACGAATACAATGCAACTTTAATAAAGATTCCAAATGATTCTTCAAGACTTTTAAAAAGTTATTCCAAAATTTATATGAAGGCATTTAGGCCTCACATAGCTAAGTCAACGTTAATGAAAGAGGGCTTAGAAAAAAGACTTGATCTACAGATTTTTTTTTAAATGCCCTTGACCAGAATCGAACCCGGGACCCTTCAGTTCATGGGCCAACACTCTATCCACTGAATCAAACCAGCCAGGGCTTGTTCTGCAGATTCTTTAAGAAATGATTACAAGATCATAATGAGAAATCCAATATGGGGTCTGTGCAGGGATAGGCAGGAAGGCCAGGGGAAAAGTCCAGAGGGCTCAGTGGCAGACTCATGTACAGCGAGAAGACAAAATATATGAGTTAAGTGGCATCACCAAGAAGGATGAATGACCCGATGATGGTTCTGGGAAATTGGCTCATTATACGGACAAAAATAAAACAGAATCTCTATCTAACCCCTCAGAATTTGGACCAGGCTGGCTGACCCCGGGGGCTGGGCTCCAGGCAGATTCAAGGTCTAAATGGGATGCCAAAATTAAAACGTGAATGTGGAAAAATATTTTGCAACTGAAAGGCAAAGAAGAACTTTTCAAGCAAAAAAAAAAAAAAAAAAAAAAAAATCATAAGCATAAAGCATCAGACTCAAACCCGGCAAATGTAATCACATCAAAATGAAGGTTTTCTGTTTAATGAAGGACACCCAGGGAAATATTAGAAGACACGTGACAGGATACAGGAAGATATTCACAGCATCGAAAACCAGAGAGTAACACCTGGAAGTCCTGCCAATCAAAACAAGGACATCCCCAGGAAAGAGAAATGGGCTGATGTTTTGAGAGACGATTCAAGAGAAGGAAACACCTAAAACTGACACGTTAATACATGGAGACACGTGTAAAAGCACAGAGAGGCACGTTGAATAGGGATACTGGAAACTGGCAAACCTTAGGAAGCCAGGTAATACCAACTGCTGGCAGGCGGGAGGGTTCTCGGCTCCCTCGTGCATTGCAAAAGCTGGGGAGAGGGTAGGTTTCACTTCCTGGAGAGAAATGGGTGCTGCTGCTGACCCAGCCACCCAAAAGGAACACCCTCCCAGGTCTAAAAGGGACAGCCACGGCCTGTGTGGCACTGTCTGTCTTGGAAGGGAGTTGGTGGCAGAGCGAGGTGTCCATCTCTTCGAGAGCAGAGAGGTTATGCGCGGGGATCCGTGCTGTGGACACCCAGCACCATCGATGGGTCTTGAACTGCATGAAAGTAAAAGAAACAGGAGGTCTGAACACAATATCATTTACACAAATTAAAAACAGCAGCATGCCAAACAATGCTCATTTTTTGGAGGGGGGGGACACCCATCAGAAAGGTTGCCTATGGGGGCAGGGAATGGGAGTGGGTGTAGGGACAAAGGGAATGAAATAAATATACAGAAGAAATGAGATGGTGCATGGGGCAAAGGAGAAAGAGGCCTGTCCATGCTCCAGTCCACCAGTCCAGTGGTCTGCAAACTGCGGCTCAAGAGCCACAGGCGGCTCTTTGGCCCCTTGAGTGTGGCTCTTCCACAAAATACCACGGCCTGGGCGAGTCTATGTTAAAGAAGTGGCATTAGAAGAAGTTCAAAAAATGTGGCTCTCCAAAGAAATGTCAATCGTTGTCCTGTTGATATTTGGCTCTGTGGACTAATGAGTTGGCCGACCGCTGCCAGCCCAACACGTCCCTGGCTTCCTGCTTCCTCGTCCCGCCTGCCTTCACCCCTGCGAGCTCCCCACAGAGCTAACCGCAGGGTGCGCGCCAGGACTGATGTCCACACGCTGTCTCCTGAGCTCTCCCTCAGTCTAATTTATCCTTCACACGTTATTTCCCATGACCGAATAACAGTCCAACTGGAAGACAATAATCCTTCTTTACTATTGAGAATTGAGGTCAGTCCTGCCTTTCAACCAGGAACAGCAACCATATAACCTTGTCAGGAAAACCCCCATACCTCCACAGGGCTGCC